GGACTCTTGGGGGTCTCGTCCTTGGGGACGGGTCCCCAGTTTGCCGGTAGGGGTTGGCGGCCCTGACTTCAATCGCCCGGTGGCACGGCACCGTCAGAGGGAGCTCTCTGGTGTAAACTATGTAAGCAATCTGCGCAATCTGCTCTGAGGACCGGCGAGATCGAAGCATTTATTACTTCCGGTACGGGCTTTCTTCTTGGGAGAAATCCAATTAAATTTTGCCACAATCGTAATTATCACGTGGCATTGGTTGTACAAAATTGATTGGCGCTTTCGATTCTTTTCTAGCGACGTTCAACGTAACAGTCATGCGCGACAGAAAATCCGTACGCGGGATTGGTGACAGCGCGTGACGTATTCGTCGGAGCGCGGCGCTCGCGTGCGCGAATCGAATTGTTCTAGAACTTTCGATGTTCCGTTGCCGGTGCCTGTTTGCGTGTACCGAATTGTTTTGAAAAGGCTAAAGAACAATGAATCTCTGACTTTGATGAGGTTTAAAGCCAGGCTCGAGATGAAATCACGAGCTCGCCTTGTGCGTGCGTTCAATAACAATTACTGTCGGTCGACCGAAGGAATTCTTACCTTTTTTTTGAATTACCGATCTCGAACACAGGTTGTTCCTGATGAAGTGGACTGCAAGGTTCACGAAACATTGGCATTCCAAGAATGAATCTGGATACGGAGAAAACTTGCGAAAGCATAATCTTTAAGATTGAAAAATTTGTACTTGACGTACTCCTAAAGTGAATTTCCATAACAATTCCTTTAAGTTTTTTAATATTTTTTTACTCTAATACTCATTTATTATATTTAAGGTCAAAATATCGTTAACCATCCATCTTATTAACTGGTTATGGGGATGTTGGAATATAACCATAGGATGAAGATTTTTATGCATTTTGAGTAATACTCTTACTGATGAAGACTAGAAGTTAACTGAAATGTTTGACAAATATATTATTTATAGAGTATTGTCAATCGAAATAAATGCCTATTATTGCAGCGCCGATTCCTAAACGCCCATTTGTTAATTGTTACTTTTTCTATTCGGTAACGAGTAACTATAACTTGTTATTTTTTAGAGTGACTTTCCATTCCATAGAAATAAAATGTTTGATAAGTAACGATAAATCTTCTGCACGTGGACAGAATGAACCAAACTGAGAAGAAAAATTTTCTATCATTTTGTAATATTCGCAATAGTTAATAAGATATTAATTGTTAAATTTGCCGAGAATTAGTCTTCAATAACTTTTTAGTCAAATACTATTAGGCTAGTCATTAAAGATTTTAAAAAAGAAGAAATTATTTACTACTTTATTGTTTTAATCGATAGTTCGAGGTATAAAAAGATTAAATTTGAAAGTATATAACATTAAAAGGGACACTTGGAAGATATAATGTTTTTCTTTTGACTTTCCAATTAAATTTGAAAACGAAAAAAGATCGAAAAATAACAAGAGAGTTTTTTTGATGTTGCTGAAATTTTCTACAAAATGAGTTTCTAACGAGCTTTGTATTATGAATAGAATCGGAGGTACAGAGGTTTGAAAATTAATGAAATTTCTTGAAAAAATGATAAAAATAGGTACTTTTCAGTTATTGCCTTTTACGTAATTTTGCGTTCATCTGAGAGTAAAAAGTGACATGAGATAATTTAAAATAGACATTTTACCGAAAAAAATGAGCTTAAATTGGACTCAATACGGTTAACACTTCCAGAGATATCGAGCTCCAGAGTAGGTACTTTTTTGGCAAAATTTGTCCATTTTGTATGTTACTTGTTTTTTTTTCTTATATATAATGTTTTTCGCAAAGAATCATTCGGGCCGGTTTCACTAACGCAAATTACTTAATTGGCCGTGGAACTGACTAATTGATGTTTAGTAGAATCAGTACAAAATTATCTTTTAACAAAGAGACGCTAAAAAAATGTGCTTTTCGAATAAAATTTAAATATCCAACCTAATTAATAGTAGTTTTAATTTTTCTTCAAAGATATTCTTATTGAAGATATTATTATTCTCTATTGAAGATCTTTTTATTTCAACCCAAGTAATAGCAATTTTAATTCTTTGTCAGAAATTACTATTCGAAAAAAATTAATGTATCAAATGAAAAATTAAAATCCAGATACTACAATCTTAATTAATCAAGTTATATTCTATCAAATTAAAAAGTAAAACGCAAGTGGTACTATCTTTTGTTACTTAACTCTAATGATATGTATTAGGTGTTGGAATTAATTCGTAGCGTTTTTTAATGAAAGAATGTTATTTATTTCACATGAGCATTAAAAAATACATTAATGAAAGTACTTCCCATCACTTGTAAAACGCTACGAATTAATTCCAACACCTAATATCATTTGTATAAAAGATTTTATATCAACGAAACTGGCACCAAATTAAATTCCACATAATTTTATAAATATCATTCGTAAAAAAGATTTGATATCAATAATTGGCGATAAGTTAAATCCCATGTAATTCGGATAGTAAATTAAATAAATATAATAATATCAATTTTAATGATATATATTATTCCTATAAAAGATTTGATATTAACAATTAGCGCCAACTTAAATCTCATATCAAATAAAGTAAAGAATACAATTCATAATTGCGTTCTCTTACGAATAAAAATCCTCAATTTATTGTGTTAACACTCAAATTT